AGGCAGAAAGTAGATCTGCGGTTACCAGGAGACAGAGGGAGGGAGGGAGAAATGGGAAGTGGCTGTTCAAGGGTACAGCGTTTTGTTTTGTTTTGTTTTTTTGCAGCGATGGAAATGTTCTGGAATTAGACAGTGGTAACGATTTCACAACGTTGAGCATATGCTAGAAACCACTGAATTATACACTTTGAAAGGGTGAATTTTATATCATCACAAAAAAGAGTACAGGGAAAATGGGGAGATATAATAATATAAAAATGAAATTTAATATGGTCATTTCACACAGTGGTGAAAATGCCACTCGGAGTGGCATCGAGTCCTGGCTCCACTCCTGATTCCAGCTTCCTGCTAATGCACACCCTAGGAGGCAGCAAGTGGTGGCTCAAGGAGTTGGGTCCCTGCCACCCACATGGGAGGCTTGGATTGAGTTCCAGGCTCCTGGCTTCGGCCTGGCCCAGATTTAACTGTTGTGAACATTTGGAGAATGAATCAGTGGATGGAAGCTCTCTCTCTCTCCCTCCCCCTTTCTCTCTCTCTCTCCATCTCCTTCTGCCTCTCCCTTTCTGTCTCTCTGCCTTTCAAATAAACTTTTTTTTTGAAAAAGCAAATGTCCTTTTTTTAAAAAAATAATACAATATAATGTATAGCTTTAAAAAAAACTCCATCTAGAAAGATGTCAGTCTCCTAACACATGAGCTGGGCAGTGTGGATGCAGTGGCTGGGCCGAAGCCCCCTTCTGGCAAAGGTGCACAGTTTAACCACTGAAGTGGGCAGGGAGACTGCCCAGAGACTGGCTGCTGCCTCACCACTTCCCCTGAGGGAGAAAAACAGGTGGGCACAGTAACAAAAATTCACCAAGTGGGGCTGCTGTTGTGGCATAGTGGGTTAGGCTGCCATCTGTAGTGCTGGCATCCTATATGGGCACCGGTTCAAGTCCTGGTTTCTCCACTGCCAATCCAGCTCCCTGCTAATGCACCTGAGAAAGCAGCAGAGAATGACCCAAGTTGTTGGGCCTCTTGCCTGAACCTTTGCAGCCATTTGCAGAGTGAACCAGCGACGGAAGATTGAAATCTCTCTCTCTCTAACTCTGCCTTTCCAATAAATAAATTAACCTTAAAAAAGGCAGAGTTAGAGAGAGAGAGAGAGAGAGAGAGAGAGAGAGAGACAGAGACACACATTTTCTCTGAAGAAACACACAGTACAAATAGGAAGAATAGCAAAGACAGGTGAGCATAGAAGTCATCTACCATGCCCCCACCTGGAAACTTCACCATGGCTGGTACGTATACACTCTTCCAACAGAAGTGACCCCTTTGGACACTTCTAAGCTTCTGATTCAGAAAGCAGCCTGGGCTCAGTCAGGGTCACCCTGGGCTGGTGCCAGCAACACAGGGAAGAGAAGGTGCCTGTGACCCGTGGCAGCTGGCAGTGAGTTTCACGTCGCTCAACCTTCTCTCCACTGTAGTCTCAGCTCACTGACACACGCTCTGTGTCTGTGACTTTTCTCTCTTCCTCCCCCTAAACAGTAGTTATATCCACAAAGTGCTCAGGGACCAGAAGAGCTGTTACCAGGGTGATGATGGTGAAATGCCTCCCTCAGGGGACCCCTGGGCCCGCCACCTTCTGACAGCAACACGGGGGTGCTCGTGCGTTCAGGGCGGTTCTGTTAATAGCAACACCTCGGGGCAATCTCTTCGCTTTCTGCTTGGTATCTGCTACAGACTTACGGACCCAGGATTTTCCTGGGATCCCATTAAAGGACCCCAGCTCTGAGGGCAAAGCCACACCACGTTGGCCCCTCTGCCTTACAGTCACCGGTTTCCGGAGTGCACAGTCAGGTGTTCCTGTCTCTGTCAACAGTGCACACCAGCCTGGCAGAGGGGAGAGGCGGGCTGCTCTCACCCTGTGCCAGAGAGAGGGGTCACTGCTTTGGGTGCCCGTGGCTGGGGAAGCGCAGAGTCGGGGCACTCTGGCTGCAGTGTGCCTTCTTGACCCAGAGCCAGATGGGAGAGCCCAGCGCCCTGAAGCTATGTCCTCCATAATCTTACTCCACTCTGTCACTCAATCTTGTCTCCCGCAGACCATGCACAACTGAAAGCTATGCTCCAGTCAGAGGCCCTTTCCAACCCACCCATTTCATTCTGATTGATTCCATTATTTTCACGAAAACCCTCACCGTGTTCTGGAAGCACTAAAACAGCCTGCCGATGGGTTTCGCACGATCACGGCAGCCGCCCTACCAGCCACTCTTTACGCTTCAGCAGCAACACTTTTTTTTTTTTTTTTTTTGAAATGTCATTAAAGCTTTCCTACCCAAATTAAAGATTTACGGTCTGGCAGTATCAGCATTGCCTGGGTGCTTCTTAGAAAATGCAAAATCTCAGGCCCCTTCCCAGACTAACTGAAGCAAAAATAGCATTTCCAAACAGTAGGTGAACTTTCTATTTCACAGCAATTTCAGATTCACAGCAAAATTGAGTGGAAAGTCACCGAGGGTTCTCCTATAACCCTCCCCACATATGCACGGCCTCCCCCACCATCAACATCCTACACCGTGTGGTGCATTGATGCCATAAGTAAGCCTACACTGACGCGTCGTCATCATCACCCAAAGTCCATGGTTTGTGTTAAGGTTCACTCCTGCTCCTGCACATTCTATGGGTTTTGACAAATCTATAGTGACCTAGATCCATCATTATAGTATAATGCAAAATAGTTTTACTTCTCTAAAAAATCCCCTGTGCTAGAAATTGCATTTTAATACTCCCCACCCCCACCCCAGTGATTGGTGTGCACAATTCAAGTGCGAACAGCACTGGGATAGACTGAGCTCCTTGTCTCATAAAGCAGATTCCTGACTGTGGCCTTCAAGCCTGGGGGCCTGGCTGCTCCCACTGCCTCCTAGTCCAGCACTGTCTTCCCTGGGGCCCTGCTTGCTCTCTCACGTCTGTGCTTCCCCCATGTGACAGGCCCTGCCCTCTGGAGAGACAGTGGCTCGGGGACAGCACTGGTCCCTTGCTTGCAAAGTCCTGGTCCCTGTTACTCATGCATCCTTGAGTCATCATTGAGTTACTTTTCTTCTTCCTCCCAAAGACCTTAAATTCCATAAAGATGAGAGCCGTGTCCATTTTGCTCATAGTTTGTCCCCAGGACCAAGAAAAGCATCCTGTACATAGCAGATGCTCGATGCCTGTCAAATTAATAAAGGATTAAGCAAAAGAATGAACACCTGTGTCCCATGCAGCCTTGCCCCTGCGCCTTGCCCAGGCTGCTGGCCTGCCCAGATTTCTCTGTCACCCGTATGCCTCCAGCTGCTCCAGCTCACCCTCGTCCCTCCTTTGCCAGAGTTTGGGTTTTTACAGCCAGGACCCAGCACAGCATCACTCTTTGCTTGTTTTCAAAAAGTTCATGGAAAATGTATATTAGGAAAATTAAGCATGGATTTCAAAATATCTGTGCACCAAAATAAATGTATTTTTAAAAATGTTGCCTTTCCACGAAATGTTCGAAGTACTCTTGTATATGGGTTAGTTTTCCTTTCCCAGGCAACCTATGCAAACCTCTTTGGGGACAAGAATCCCAGGCACAGCCTCTGTGGTGCCCCTGGAGCACGCACACTGTGTGTTCAGGTGTAAGGAGTTCACGGGCTGGTTTGTTGACTGAGTAACAGCAACAGTAATATCTGACTGGAGCCGTGGGACAAGGGGTTTTCCTAAACCTCTTTCTTTAGCTCAGAGCTCATCTTTTTTCATTTGCCTCTGACTATAATTTTCCTGGGACAATTGCTAATGTCTTGGTTTCATTTCTTTTGTGTGTGTGTTTTCGTTTTCCTTTTTGTTGTTTCTCTCTCTCTCTCTCTTTCTCTCTCTCTCTCTTCTTCCCTTCTCTGTCCGTCTCTCACACCCCCTTCCCCCAACACACCCTCATTTCCAGGAATTCCACCTGTATGAATTTCCTTCTACATATTTTAAACTCCCCAGAGAAGTCTCTTTGGGGAGTGTTTCCCTGCCTTCCCATAAGAACGCTGTAACTGTTGGAAATGTCATATAACCATTAAATATACACAAAATCTAACATGAAGGCTGTGAAGCTTCAACCATGGGTCTCCTGGCTCTACAACAGTATACAACAACAAATTTGACAGCTCGGGACAAAAAGTTGAAGACCACTGTGCTCAGGCACTCTCCCAGCCTCCAAGTCCTCTTCCTGGAGTTCCCGCCCCGGCTCCCGTTGCCACACAGACACACCGTGGAGATTCTGGGCTACGCGAAGGAAGCAGCTTTCAAGACCAGCACCTCTGCAGACTGGAAAGGTTCCGGCTGGAACCGGATCTCCTGTTTGTATTTGGGAAACCAGCAGGCTGAGCCCTCCCATCTCAACAGCACTCCAAGTCCAGCACCTCCTACAGCCACCGAGGCTGGAACAAAAGCCCCTGGATGTCCAAACATTCTTTGAGAGACCCTAGGTAGTAAATTAAAGTCTGAGACCATGAATTTGTCAGATGCCAAAAGACCTCAGCATCCAACATGGAGGAACACATATGAAGAGAAAGAGCCGGCATTCGGAAGATTATATTCCTCAACCACTCCCCTTGCCTTCGAATCGGAAGGCTGAATTTTAAAGGAAGACCACTTTAGCCGAATGGTAGAGAAATCTAGTTTGGGAACCAGATCCCTAGGACAACACCCTTAGCACGATACAGAATGAGAGAGAGAGCACCTGGCATTCATGCAAGTGGCCACAACTCTAAGCTGTGGCAAAATGAGCTTTTGGCTTTGTTATGATAACCCTGTCCCCACCTGGATGCTAACTTGCCGTGTGACCCTAAGCAGCTCCTCTAACCTCTGCGGAGCACAGTTTCCTGATCCCGACACTGGGTTGGAAACACCCAGCAGCTCCCTTCCAGTTCATCGGGCGACAGAAGGGGGCAGCAGAGAGAACGCCGCCGCCTCTCTCCCCACTGGCGCAGTGTCTCAGTTAGGTTCCCGCGTGCCGCTTACCTGAAGAGAAGTGGAGACCCGCCAGCGCCAAGAGCAGGCAGAGCTTGAGGTGTAGACACCTGGGCAGTGGAGTTCCCGGCCTCAGCGTGTGGCCCATGCCTCCAGGTGCTTAGGTTGGAAAATGAAAGCCAACAGTTCAGAGCCAGTAAGGCTGGACGCCTCCGGGGTACACGGGGCGCAGAGCGAGGCAACCGAGAAGCCTGGAGGTGCACACCAGGCAAGGGCAGAAGACGATGCAGCTGCCCCTCGTAGAAGGCTCTGTGCTGATGTTTGCCAAACACACTGGCGAGAGATTGGAAAGGGTTCCTGGGTCTCCAAAAGTTGTGGATTTGTTTTCACAACCTGAAAAAGAAAAAAAAATCGGCATCACCCAGGAAGGAGGGGAGGTCTGCTTCCTGGGTTCTAAAGCTCTGATTGCCCGCCTGAGCGCATCTGGGATCTTAACCTGGGAGACCTCTACGTAGGGCGCCGCCAGGAGGGGCAGCTCTGAGGTGACCTTGCCCGCGCCTATTCCAAGAACCAACCACAGCTCTTCTGTGAAACAGCTCTTGCTTCACAGATGTGGCTGACTTTATTAGAAACACAGAGAACTGTAAGGACCCTCGGCATCCGTCAGCCAGGCCACGGAAATTCCAGCTCCCTTCTGGACCATGGTACTGAAAACAGAGCAACCAGCACAGCTGGTTGTCCGAGTCATGGGACAGCATTTTTTTTCTAATTAATATAAACACGGGAACACAAGTGTCTCTGTTCTTCAACCCTTCTGCTCAAAGAACCTGTCCTAAAGGGGCGCGGGGTCTCCATCGAGACTAGTGGGAGACCAGCAGGTCTCCATTGCCAGTAGGAAGGGAGAAACAAGACGCACAGCCAACATTACTGATGAGCTCATGGGCTGCAGTGTGAGTAAGTTTTTTGTTTTGTTTGCCAGTAAATCTATCAAAACTGAGAAATGAAAATGACCGTGGCACTGTCACTCTCTCCGGGCCCCTGCACTGCTCAGCAGGAGCTCCGTCTCCTCTTTGAAGCAACCCCCGCCCCCCCCCCCAACTGGAGTGCCAGCCAAGGCCCATGCCCTGATCGGCACCATCTATTTGCGTCAGGGCTACCTTGGAGAGATGTATTTACCAGAAGTTTTCTGGCTGGACAGACTCAAAGTGGTCCTGCAGAAATAATCTTTTCTGCTGCCTAGGAAATTAAAAAACAATGGGCCATCCTTCTAATGGTGATTGTCCAAGTGTGTTGGGACTCTGTAGGCTCCCATGGGAATAAGAGACCCCAGCGGGCTCCGCTGAGACCAGGCATGCTTGCTAGAGGCAGGAGTGATGGGATGGTTGTTTAGAAGGCAGCCGGCTGTGGGTAACTAGTTCTACCCACTTATCCCCTAATAAGGCGACGGTCAGTGTACTTACTCACAAGTTCTTCTTTTCCTTCTGCGTTAACAGTCAAAGGGTGAGGCTGTGTCTCTGAGATGTTCTTTTCTCGCCGTCTCCACGATAATGGCAAACCACTCTGTCTTTCTTCGAGTGATATATCAGAGAGGTGGTATTTCCCCTCCCGACTTCCTTTTACTTGGTAGAGAATCTGAGCTCCGCCAGCCCAGGACTGGGTAGGGCGTCTGGTCTGAGGAAGCTCCCTCCGCCGCGCTCTCCTCTGTCACCTCCTTAGAGGGTGTGGCCCGGGGCGAAGCACCCAATAGCCCTCTCTGCTCCCCATCGACAAACTAACAAACAGGAAATCTTGAGGACCTTGGGCAGCTGGGCCAGGGCAGAGGAGAGAACATGCCCCAGTCGAGGGTGGGGCAGCTGCTAGTTTTGCCTGGGCAAAGTCTATAAGCTTTAAGGAGGGACTGCTTCTGCACTGCTCCAGAGTTCTGCTTTAGCAGCCAGAGTTTCTCAAACCTAGTCACTGTCCAGCCACTACAAGAGGTCAGCCACAGGGCCGGCGCTGTGGCGGAGCAGGGAAAGCCGCCACCTGCAGTGCCTACATCCCATGTGGGCGTCGGCTCAAGTCCCAGCGGCTCCACTTCCGATCCAGCTCTCTGCTATGACCTGGGAAAGCAGCAGAAGATGGCCCAAGTCCTTGGGCCCCTGCACCCACATGGGAGACCCAGAAGAAGCTCCTGGCTCCTGGCTTCGGATTGGCTCAGCTCTGGCCATTGCGGCCATTTAGGGAGTGGACCAGCATGGAAGACCTCTCTCTGCCTCTCTGTAACTCTGCCTTTCAAATAAATAAATAAATACATCATATATATATATATATACACATATGTATTTGGTACACATTTTGGAGAGCGCTCAGCTCACAAGATCCGCAGACCCACTGCCTCTGCAGAGGGGGCAGATGCATTGCAGTCATCTTTGCCACGGTTGAGTGAAGCTCAGGTGTGCACCATGGTGGCACCTAGGGATGGGGGAGTGAGGAGGACTTGAGTCCCACCACCACCTGTTTTCCCACCAGCCTTCCAGTGCCCTTCTCTGGAGAATTCTGGAGCATCTGGGAGTGAGCAGCTGAGCCACACCGGGCCAGCCGCCCTCATGCACCTTGCCTGGCATTGTACTGCTCAGAGTCTGCTTTGGGCCCTGCAGGGGCTTCTCTGCTGCCTTGGCATGGGGTACCTCTGGGGGTGTTTGACTAAGCAGTTGAGAAGGTCACTGCTCGTAGGGGCTGGATGTTAGTGAACAATTGTGTCAACCTTTGGTTTTCCAGGTAGAGAATTTTGAGAGCTAATGCATGAGGCTCCTGGAAGGCCTTGGATGGTGGAGTACCAATTGCTTTCTGAGGGGCAACTCGGGCAGGCTTCTGGGTATGGCTTCCCCTACCCCGCACTCCTCCTCCCCTGCTTCAGGTTCCCATGCCAAACCACTGAAATCAAGTTTCCAAACAGACCACTTTGCTCTTTGTTGCTAGCTTTGCTCTCTGGAGAATCCAGGCTAAGACAGCAGGAACAGTCAGGATGGTAGAGATACAATGGTTTTCCTTCTGAAATACATTTTTTTCGAAACAGAAAGGTGAGTCAAGTTAGAGGGGAAAAAAAAGAAAATGATAGTCAATAAGGTGTATGAATGTGGCAAACATTGGGAATACGGTTTCAAAATGAGTGACATGTTGACTTAAAGCTATTAGAAAACAAACTTTGCTGGGGGGAGGAAAACCACAATTTGAGCTACTAATGTTTTTCAGTGTTACCAAGGCACTGAAATCCCGTGAAATAAAAAGCCAATGGATAAAGGTGGCAGTGTGAGGCTTCTGGGTGTGTGTAGATGAGGAGCCAGGGAACCCTTCCAAAAGGAAGAGAAGCAGAGGAGAAAAGCTGCCTGTGTTTCCTGATTGTACTGAAGTTAGGATCAGGCCTGCAGCATGGCCAACACAGGCCCTCTCACTAGAGGGACTGTGTCCTCAGGCCCAGCTAACACTGCCTCCGGAAACCTCTGGCTGAATCGGAGACAGATCTTGAGCAGGGAATGAGTGGTGGCTTATACGGTGTGATCCGATAGGTCCACTTGTAAAGCATCGCTCCTACCAGCGCCCCCATGCATGCAGCCCCGCCAGCAGATGCATTCATTTGGGGCTAAGGCCAAACTGAGGTTTGCTTACCCCCAAGGGCACCTAGAGGTTTCACAGGAAATGGAGTTACTGATAGACTGATAGTTTTTTTTTTAATCAATTTCCAGACTTGTAGTCTCTTTTAAATGGTTTCCTAAAACTCAATCAGCTGTGAGTAGGACGTTGGCCCTCTTCCTATTTAAAAAGGGATCTGACCTGGCAGTTGGATGCTAGTCAAAAGGCCTGTGTCCCATTTTAGAGTACCTGGTGTTCGATTCCTCACTCTCACTCCTGATTCCAGCTTCCTGCCAATGCAAACCTTGGGAAGACCCTGGAAGTGATGGCTTGGGCCCCTGCCACTCATGACAAAGACAGGAATGAGATCTTGGCTCCCAGCTTGAGCTTGGCTCAGCCCTGAGTGTCAAAAAAATAACTTTCAGGAGACATTTTTAATTTAAAACATGAAAAGAAAATCTTACCTCTTACCCAACCTGAATCTAACCATGGTATAATATTCTGGAAAGTAAAAAACTTCAAGGTGTCCAATAAAGGTGTGACAATTTGAAATACTGATTTCAGTCAATGTGGTTTTCTTAAATCAAACATTATAAATCCAAGATATGGCTTTATGTCCCTCCCAAGTTGTCCAAATTTCTATTAAGTAGAAATGTGACATTAGAGGAACTGGCTCTGTGGCATAGTGGGTGAGGTCACTGCCTGCAGCGGCAGCATCCCAATGGGCGCCAGTTCGGGTCCCGACTGCTCCACTTCCAATCCAGCTCTCTGCTGTGGCCTGGGAAAGCAGTAGAAGGTGGCTCAAGTCCTTGGGCCCCTGCACCCATGTGGGAGACCTGGAAGAAGCTCCAGGCTTCTGGCTTTGGATAGGCCCAGCTCTGGCTGTTGTGGCCACTTGGGGAGTGAACCAGCAGATGGAAGACCTCTCTTTGTTTCTCTCTCTCTCTCTTTCTAACTCTGCCTTTCAAATAAATCTTAAAAAAAAAAAGAAATGTGACATTAAAAACGTGTACTGTAGAGTCAGGAGGTAGGAGTGCTGGCAGCTTGTATCTCTAGCTTTGCCTCTTCTGTTTGGCAAGAAGCAAGAGCTGTTTCACAGAAGAGCTGTGGTTGGTTCTTGGAATAGGCGCGGGCAAGGTCACCTCAGAGCTGCCCCTCCTGGCGGCGCCCTACGTAGAGGTCTCCCAGGTTAAGATCCCAGATGCGCTCAGGCGGGCAATCAGAACTTTAGAACCCAGGAAGCAGACCTCCCCTCCTTCCTGGGTGATGCCGATTTTTTTTTTCTTTTTCAGGTTGTGAAAACAAATCCACAACTTTTGGAGACCCAGGAACCCTCTCCAATCTCTCGCCAGTGTGTTTGGCAAACATCAGCAGCCAGAAAGGCCGAGTGAGGGGGAGATACTGATGGCAGCAGCACCAGCTTCGCCCCAGCAGCACATCACAGCAGGCCTCAGTGGGCGAACTGCTCTGTCCCTGGATTTGGAACCGCTGAGCCTACCTGAGCAGGCAGGTGCTCACCGCAGTTTCCCCTGCTGTGTTAGGAACAGGGCCTTGGTGAGCACCCTCGGCCTCCTCTGTCATGGTGTGGGTCTCAGATGCACCCTCTGAATAATTATAAGGAGGAAGGCTGTGCCACATTCTGAGTTACCCCTAATAAATCAACATTCACTTGCAAGGGAAGGTTGGATTTTAGATTTTTTGAGCATTTATTCAGATACTGAAAGAAATATTTTCACTGATTTTGTGAATTTATATTCTACTCAATGCATTTAAGAGTGATGACACAGTTTATTTTTTTAATGACAATATTACAACACGTTGGAAATTACATCCTTTGCAGATATTTAAAGTGATACAAACTGCTGGCACCACGGCACACTAGGCTAATCCTCCACCTGTGGCGCTGGTACTCTGGGTTCTAGTCCCAGTTCGGGCGCCAGTTCTGTCCTGGTTGCTCCTCTTCCAGTCCAGCTCTCTGCTGTGGTCCGGGAAGGCAGTGGAGGATGGCCCAAGTCCCTGGGCCCTGCACCCGCATGGGAGACCAGGAAGAAGCACCTGGTTCCTGGCTTCAGATCTGTGCAGCGTGTTGGCCGTAGCAGCCATTTGGGGGGTGAATCAATGGAAGGAAGACCTTTGTCTCTGTCTCTCTCTCTCACTGTCTAACTCTGCCTGTCAAAAAAAAAAAAAAAAAAGTGATACAAACTTCTGGATTTTGTGGTTTTCTGTTTGGACACTTATAAGCACACATTTTGAAGACCACAAGACACTCTCAAATTTTCAGTCTCAGTAAAATCCTAACCTGCCTTGGAGAAGCACGCATTTAAAAGTTTTCACAAGGTGGGCATTATGGCACAGTGGGTTAAGGCCCCATTTGGGGTGCTGCATCACATATCAGAGCGCTAATTCAAGTCCTGGCTCCTCCACTTCTAGTCCAGCTTCCTGCTAATGTGCTTGGGAGGGAGCAGATGATGACCCAATTACATGGGCCTCTGTCACCCTTGTGCGAGACCCAGATGGAGTTCCTGGTTCCTGACTTTGGCCGTTGTGGGCATTTGGGGTGTGAACCAGTGGAACTCTCTTTGTCACTGTTTCTTATTTGGAAGGCAGAGTGAGAGAGAGAGAGAAAGAGGCAGAGACAAAGAGAGAGAGAGAGAGAGAGAGCGAGCTTCCATCTGCCGATTCATTCCTCAAATGGCTGCAAAGGCCTAGGCTGGGCCAGCCTGAAGCCAGGAGCCAGGAGCCTCTTCTGGGTCTCCCACACGGGTGCAGGGGCCCAGGTACTCAGGCCGTCTTCCACTGCTTTCCCAGGCACATTATCAGGGAGCTGGGTGGGAAGTGGAGCAGTGGGGACTGGAGCAATATGGGATACTAGCGTCACAGGTGGCCTCTTAATTCACTGCACCACGAGGCTGGCCCCCTATATAAATATTTTTAAGTGGAATTAAAAGATAGTTTTTTAAAGAAAATTTTGTCACTAATAGCTTGATGTAAATTTCTCGGGGACTAAAGGAAAGGACACCGGGCAGGTATTCCCTAGGTAGCTTCCCCTTTCTGATTGTAAAATACAGAGCTTCCCTTCCAAGCTGGTGCACCTGGGGGATGTATTTGATCCCTCTTCTTCTGAAATGAAAACAATAGTGAAAGAAAAGACTGAGATACGCTCACAACTGCATAAGGATAGGAGCATGCTACACGGACCAAAGGTTCCTGGGGGAAATGTGTAGGGACTGGAAAGTGGATGGAGCCAGAGGAGGAGAAGGTGGTGCACTGGAAGCCACAGCCCAGCTACCTGTATTACCAGAGGGTAAAACCAATCAAAACCTTCAAAGGCCTTTGTTCTGGAGTTGAGGAGGAACAGAGTCGGAAACTCTTGCCTCTCCAGGTAAGTTCTTCAGCTCCACTGCTTGATTTCTTTTTTATTTTTTAAAGATTCATTTATTTATTTGAAAGGCAGAGTTACAGAGAGAGAAAGGGAGAAACAGGGAGAGTGGTCCTCCATCCACAGATTCACGCCTTAAATGGCCACAGTGGCCAGACCTGGGCCGAGCTGAAGCCAGCAGCTTCCAGATCTCCCACATAGATGCAGGG